AGATTTTGAAGAGGCAAATTAAAAAAAAACAAAAACAGTTTTTGCACTCTGCAGACCTCCCCAAAATGGCCCGTTTTTCACAAAAATGGGCCTGTTTTTTGTCAAAAAAGCCATGCATAGCCTTTAATAGGCTTCCAGGGCTCCTGGGGGCTGGGGGGGGGGCCAAAACCCGGAAAAGGATGGCCCATTTGCTCATTTTTGCCATCCCCAGGAGCCACTCCAGAAGCCTAAAGGCTATGCACAGCCATTTTTGCAAAGGAGGGGGGGTTTTGGGAGGCCAAAAATGCTGTATTCAGTGGATAAGATGCACCCAGATTTTGAAGAGGCAAATTAAAAAAAAAACAGTTTTTGCACTCTGTAGACCTCCCCAAAATGGGCATGTTTTTTGTTAAAAAAGCCATGCATAGCCTTTAATAGGCTTCCAGGGCTCCTGGGGGCTGGGGAGGGGGGCAAAAACGAGCAAAAGATTGCCCATTTTTTGCTCATTTTTGCCATCCCCAGGAGCACTCCATTTTTGCAAAGGAGGCGGGGTTTTGGGAGGCCAAAAATGCTGTATTCAGTGGATAAGATGCACCCAGATTTTCACCCTCTTGAGGGGAAAAAGTGTGTCTTATACTCTGAAAAATATGGTACCTTTGCATTCCCCGCTGGCTGGAACCTGTAGGTAAGGTAAGGCCAACAATTTTGGCCTGCAGAGACGCTCTGGGGGTGGGGTGTGTGTGAAAAATGAGGTGCAAGGAAGCCAAAAAAAATCCAGGCACTTTTAGCCCATTTTTGACCAAAAAAAAGGGCTAAAACTTTTGGCCTCCAGAAGATGGAGAGAGAAAGAGACAGATAGTCTTGTTGATTGTAAGCTCCTTGGGGCTGAGAAGAATTGCTGCAGAACTAAGATTCCTGAAGTGGACCACTAGACTCTTAAACAACTGAAGAAATTTATCTAGTAACAAGAAAAGTCAACCCAAAAGAGCAACAAGCAACCCCCAGGAACAAAACCAATTGAAGTTTTAATTTGTGCATTGTATAATGGTCTGTTAAATTGGCCACGCCCACCCCGTCACGTGACCCACCCCATCACGTGACCACCTAGCCAGCATGCACGCCCCATCCAGCCTCCCCCAACAGCCTGAGTGACCATGAATTCCCCCCCCCCCCGTTTAAAAAGTTTGAGGATCCCTGATGTACACAATTTGGGGTATTGTGGGAGAGGCGCTAAGTTACAGGTAATCCTTAACAGTTCATTTAGCGACTTCAAAATTAGAACGGCACTGAAAAAAGTCCCATCATCGTTTTTTTTCATACTTGTGACCGTTGCAGCATCCCTGTGATCAAAATCCAGACGCCTTGCAACTAATTTATGACAGTCGCCGTGTCCTGGGATCGTGTGATCACTTTTAGTAACCTGACAAAGTTAGTGGGGAAGCCAGATTCACTTAACCACGTTACTTAACTGCAGCGATTTACTTAATTGTGGCAATGAGGTCGTACAACGAGGCAAAGTTCATGTTCTTAACTCGCTTACCAACAGACATTTTGGGCTCAATTGTGATGAGGATTATCTGTACTCTGGATTATCTTTATGACTTTGTTAAATTTATATGCCACCCTTCTGGCTATTATAGCAACTCTGGGTGGCTCACACCATAATACAAAAATGATTAAACATAAAATACTAAAGAGCAGGTTGTTGTGGATCTTCCCTCTCACCCATCAGCTACTCCCAGCATTGTTAGTTGTGAAGTCGTGTCCGACCCATCGCGACCCCATGGACAACGTTCCTCCAGGCCTTCCTGTCCTCTACCATCCTCTGGAGTCCATTGAAGCTCCCACCTACTGCTTCGGTGACTCCATCCAGCCACCTCCTTCTTTGTCGTCCCCTCCTTCTTTTGCTCTCCATCGTTCCCAGCATGAGGCTCTTCTCCA